CAAATCCTGATAAGAGTCATTGGGATGCTCTAGAAAGAATTTTGAGGTACCTAAAATAAACTATGAACTATGGTTTACATTATAAAGGTTATCCATCTATATTAGAAGGATACTCAGATGCAAATTGGATTAGTGACTCAGTAGATGTAAAATCTACCACTGGATTTGTGTTCCTTTTAGGAGGAGGAGCCATTTCATGGGAATCTACTAAACAAACTGTAATGGCTAGAAGTACAATGGAATCAGAAGTGATAGCTCTTGATACTACTAGTATAGAAGCTGAATGGTTGAAAGATTTACTAACTGAAATTCCATTAATACAAAAACAATTACCACCTATTTCTATTCATTGTGATTGCAGGCCAGCGATTGACAAATGTCATCAAAAGAATGCAAATGTGAAAATGAATTGACACTTGAAAGTGCGGCATAAATCCTTGAGATATAAGATGAAAAATCATGTAATAGCCTTAGACTTTGTAAGATCAGAGAAAAAACTTGCAGATCATTTAACTAAAGGCTTATCTAGGGCAGTAGTCCTAAAATCATCGAGGGGAATGAGGTTAAGCTCATAAGAAAAATCACTGCAGTGGCAACCCAACCTCGCAGAGGTTCAATGGGTAGAAACAAACTGGACGAGTGATTAATTGTGAGGAGCATGAAATTTATTTTCTCCCATCCCTAGGATGATTAGTGCTCATAAAAAGCAAGTGAAAGATTGAGTTTTAACTCTTAATGAATCCAAGACCCATGAGGCATGATGCTTACTTGCTTGCATCCTTATTAGGATTCACCTAACTCTTAATGAATCCAAAACCCATGAGGCAGGATGCTTACTTGCTCGCATCCTTATTAGGATTCACCTATATGTGTGTAGTTGTGAGGCCGCGACTATGAGATCAGGGCTGTTCCATAGTAACCCACATGAAAGATACCTGCGCAAGGCCGATAATAGCACAACCCGCTTAGAATTTTTCAAAACCGTACTATGTGTGCTTTATGTAGAAATCCAATAAATGAGACTGGTTCAAGGCGTAGTCCACCAAGCTCTCACGGATCTATACAACTGTCATTAAGTGAATGTTTAAACCAAAAGGTACCTCCACCTATTACATAGTATAAGGGAACCAACAATCTTATTTTCAAAGTTCTTCTTTTACTCTTATTTCTGAATTACTATTACATAGTATAAGGGAACCAACAATCTTATTTTCAAAGTTCTTCTTTTACTCTTATTTCTGAATTATTTTAAGTTTTAAGTTATGTGGTACTCTTATTTCTGAATTATTTTAAGTTTTAAGTTATGTGGGGGATTGTTGGAGTTGTAACTTAAAACTAGACTTTGTAGTGGGAAAGTTTAGTCCCACATTAGAAAGGAGATGGGAAGATAGGTTGTTTATAAGCATTCCTTTTCTCTCCTATGCTTAGAAGGAAATATGGGTTATGCTCCACACCACACACGCGCGCGCCGAACCGAACCGGGTCGGGAGGTGCACGCCCACGACCTGCGGATATGAATGCAACTCCAGATTGATGGGCCCTTAACCTGCTACATTTTGAATCTTTGTTTGTTTTTTGCTAATTAAAATTATTAAAACGTGAACAACATTCGGATAAGCATTAATATCTGAGATCGGTGGATCTGGAGAGCGAGATTAGCGGATCTAAATGACAGAAAACGACTAACATAATAAATAGGTAGGAATTAAGGATCTAAACGGGTAGCTGGATGAATGCAAACGGCTAGCATTAAAACGTGTTAATTGCCGCGAGATTTATGGACTTAAATGACGAGCTAATGAACGGAAACGGCTAGGCGAGAACGACGGATCTGAAAGGCATGAATGGTGGATCTAAACGACGGCTTTAAACCCTATAAAAGGACCTACAACCACAAGAGATTACATACAGTGAAAAATACAACAATTCCTTTCTCTTCTTCTCTTTTCGATTTATTTTCTTCCTGTTACACTTCTGCTGGTTCCCTGAAAGTTGTGAGGAGTTCACAAAGCTTTCTTGAAGCTCGTGCCGAAGAGAATGAGGTCACCTGACCGAGGATCATTGTATCTCCAAGATTTATTGTCACAAAGCCCTGTACGAGAGGGGGCAATTAGATTCTTGGGACAATGCTTAGTGCACTCTTCGATCATCAAGCCGTATTTCTAAACTTGATTTATTTTCTTTTAAATTAATTTTATTTCAGAGTTATAATATTAATCCGACATTATCAAATTTTGATTAACTGTTTAAAACTAATATTTTTGTGCTTATTTCGATCTAAACAACAATCATTTTTCTAACAATGCATTGGGGACCCAAACGCAAAGGTCTAGCAAAGAAATGGGGATACAACTTCAACACTTTATGACCATCTGTTGGGAAAAACAAGCATAGAAACATATCCAAATGATAATAGAACAAACCATACATGAATGAAAGAAAAGAGCAGAAAGTTAGATACATTTTATTAAATCACTTCAAGTTAGAAATATTTTACAAAAGTGCCGAATCGCCCTCTTAACAGAGAACCGACCTTGAAGAAACTATGCCCCACCTACGATAACGTTGGTTCTGCACAGTACTTTTGAGGATGAGATGGTTGCAGTCCAAAGAAGCACTCTTTTCTTGTGAACACTTCGACTGCTTCTTCAGATCGTCGGAATCTCAAATACTAAACAACTTATAGAATTATTAAGAGAAGAAGAAGACTTTGTTTTTTGTTCTGTGTACTTCAAATGATCAGAAGAGACCCTTTTATAGGGTTCACAGGGAGACAAAGATTTAAATTCCGGTTATTGCAACGTTTGTAACGTCTGCAATAAAACCTATTCAATCCTTGTAACGTTTGTAACATACGAAACGTTCATCTGGTTTTAAGTGAGCACATGCAAAACGTTTAAGCTATTTTAAAGTACTGTACGTGCAAAAAGAGCACACGCCCAGCCCGCTTGCTCACACGCTAGCTTATATACCAACATAAGTGTATAATGTTAACACCTTTGTTATACCATAAATAACACGAGTGTTAATTTAAACCAACTAAAATGCATTTAATTAGCCAATGTGGGACTAAAACTCACATACTACTAATTAGACACATTTTAATTTTTATTTATGGAATCCAATCATTAAATGATATCTTTCCATAAAAACCCTCTATGGTTCATTTATTTCGACACTATCTCCTCCCTCGCTACCCTCCATTGAGGCATGAGCAACGTGGCGATAGACTTATGTGTGATGATGATCACTGTTCGCTGTCACAGAATAAAAGACGAGGTTCAATAAGAAGATGGGGGCGGTGAAGAATAGTGCGAGGAAGGTCGATGTCAACGTGCTTCACCAGGCGGTGATTCAATGATCCTCGCCCTGGGAAGCACATTGACATTGAACTACCTCATGCTGCTCTTCACACCCCTATGCAACCCTCCCCCTCTTCCCTCTTTTATTTTGTGAAGGAAAAACTAAGAATAGATATTTCATCGAGAGAGAGAGAAAAATTGTGCGGGTTTTTTATTGTTTTTTTTTTTGTACCAAGTTTTTTTTTTTTTTGTTTTTTGGTNGTGTTGTTGAAGATAGGTATGAAAAGGATTCAGTTAGATAGATGAGAAGATCATGGGGGGTTAGTTGAGGGATTTTTGGATATATGAAGATCAATATGTAGTTTGTTGAGGGATTAATGGGAGAGCTGTCGAAATAATTTTCGATTTAATTCGGTGGAGTCAGAGTGAGAATAAGTCAAAGGTTCCATCATTACAGTAGAGTTAGGAAATGTTTTGAAATAGCCGCACAAGAACATGTTACTGGGTCCTAAATGGATTAAATTAACTTCGTCCCTTGCATCGTGAGTTCGAACTCTACACCTCAAAAAAGTATCTAGTAGTTCCGTATTCATTGTATTAAATATGCACTAAATAAATGTTAATCATGGGATCATTAAATTTTCAGTTTCGTGCACGGATCTAACGATTAACATCCATTTGGTGCACATCAAATGTCACGGACGATGGTGCACATCAAATGTCACGGACTATCGTCTCTTCTCATTTGTAACTTAACCCCCTAAAAAATTGAAAATGTTACCTACCCCCCAGTAACTATCGTAACGTGCAAATCACGTGTGACCAAATGATCAAAGTACCTCAATAAGTTTTGTAAGTAGAACACTCTCAATAAGTTTTTAAGTTTTGTCACCCAACCCCTATGTTAGAAAAAGATGAGGTGCCCTGTGTGCCAGTGACTTGAACTTCAAATGAGTAGATAATTGGAGGCTCCCACTGATTTATACACACTGCACCGTCCTCTACCTTAAAATTTTGATACATGAACTACAACATAAATCAATGGAGACCGAACAAAAGAAAATGTTCAACGTCACAAACAAAAAATGAACTAGATCCACGAACCATTACTTACACACGTTACACTGTCCCCTACCTCGAATCACTCATTTAAAAAAAAAAACCTCATTAACCCTGAAAATCTGCTGACACAGCGCTGATGCCTAAACCTGCAGCTCAAATAAAGAATCCAACTAAAAACTCACTTACCATTAACTGTAAAGAAATTATGTTCATAGCACTTACATACCTTGTAATTTTCCATTATTTGCACTTACATACCCACACTTGTGTTTTACAGCACTTATATAACCCGGATTCTCTAAAATTTGCTTTTTGATATCTTATATTATGCAAATGCGGAAATTCTCTTCACAAATGTTCCCATGTGACATCGACAAGCTAATTTTAGATCTATTTAACCCTTACTGCTTATTGAATTCACCGTAAATATGCTCTAATTCTGGTGGACTCAATAGTAAATTTAACAAACATCGAGGGCTAAAATATTCTAAAATTAGTTTGTGAGTGTCAATTTCGAAAGAAAATTCTCACATTTTGTGTTAGATATTAAAGTGCAAACGTTAGAAACATTTGGGTATATAAATGCCGTCAAAGGTGAGGACACATAAATGCAAAGTGAAAGAAATTAAAGCCTCTGTTAGATTACCTTCATCCTCAATCCACAGACAATCCAAGCCCATATTCATCAATCTAAACAATGGCCCTTCCCCTCACCGGCAGAGTCGCCATCGTCACGGGCTCATCCCGTGGCATCGGCCGCGCCATCGCCATCCATCTCTCCTCCCTCGGCGCCAACATCGTCATCAACTACATCACCAGCTCGACCCAAGCAAATCTCCTCGTATCCGAACTCAATTCAAACTCCCCCAATCTCCGAGCCATCGCGGTCCACGCCGACATATCCGATCCCTCCGGCCCCAAAACCCTGTTCGACCGCGCAGAACAAGCGTTCAATTCTCCAGTGCACGTCTTCGTCAACTCGGCGGGCCTTATCAATCCTAAACACATGACCATCTCTTCGACGCCTGTCGAAGATTTTGACGCCATGTTCGACGTCAATGCTCGTGGCGCATTCCTCTGCTGTCAAGAAGCTGCAAACAGAATTGCTCGTGGCGGAGGTGGGCGCGTTGTTATGATAACCTCGTCACTGACAGGAGCCTTGTTGCCGAATGTTTTTGGTGCATATACAGCTTCAAAGGCAGCCGTGGAGACAATGGCGAAGATATTAGCCAAGGAGCTCAAGGGAACGAAAATTACAGTTAATTGCGTGGCGCCGGGAGCTACTGTGACCGAGAAGTTCTTTGAGGGCAAGACTGAAGAGGATATCAAATGGGTGATGGATAAGAATTTAATGGGGAGGCTTGGGGGGACTAAGGATTTGGTGCCTGTAATTGGGTTTCTTTGTAGGGATGAAGCAGAGTGGGTTAATGGGCAGGTGATCAGAGTAAATGGTGGGGCTGTTTGAAATGTAGCTTGTTTTGTTTTGTGTTGTTTTGGGCGATTGTGAGCAATAACAGTTTTTGGAAGATAAATCTTTACTGAGGGATTTCTCTTTGTTTTGTTGTCTACAAAACATATCAATTAATTTGTACTTACTCCAGATGGGAAGAGGAAACTTAGGAGCTTACCGTTTATAGTTTCAAAGGAGAAGCAGGTACTTTTAGACATTAAGAATGCGGCAACCCGTGTATATAGATCCTAAGATTTGCCTGGAAACTCTAGATTGCAATTCTCAATCAACTTTAAAGTGGATCTGAATCCGACAGTGCGGATCATTTTCATAGACATTTTGTGGAACAAAATCAGGTCTATTTGTGTAGGACAAAATAAAGATCAATCCAACAATAAAGATTTCAACTTCTAGTAGTACACATCACACAGATTATTCACTCTATATGCTGCGACCTTCAGCGTTACGATCCAATCAGAGCTGTGGTTATCAAAACAATTCCTCCTCCACCACCACGAACAATCCTAATAACGGATTCTTGACGGCAGAGAAAGGAGACGCGAGCATTGAAGATTGGTACCAAAATCTTCTGCAGGTACTGAGGAGATGACCAGCAGCATCTCACCACCAAACTTCACCTTCCGATTATACGAAGCGGTGATCATCGTTTCCTAACATCAGAAGATGAGGTTTGATGGTAAGATGGGGGCGGTGAAGAATGGCGTGAGGGAGTTTAACCTGAAAGTGATCCGACGGGGGAGGTGCACGCAGCGGCGACAGAGGAGGGAGAGGTCGTGGGAGAGGATCGAGATGACGAGGAGGGAGGTGATGGCTGTGTTTTTGGGAGGGCCAGATGACCGAGAGGCAGTGGCGTATGCAATGAGGCTGGTGATGCATCCACACATACCAGGTATAGCAATCGGTTATTTGTTGATGATTGCCGCAGTTATGTCCTTCAGTGATCAGTTGCACGGGCGACAATAAAGGAAAGCTAAACCAATATCGATCAGCAGTATTATATCACCATGGAAATTAAGGGCAGGGCAAGTGTAAAACTTAAAGCGAGCTCGCAAACAGTTTCTTACTTGGATGGAGCCCTACACTGTCCACAATGCAGATGCTTGCATCCACTGATCCTGTGTTTATGAGAAGAGATACACCCAGTGCGCCCAAGAGACGTCATTATAGCGTACGGCGCGAGATCAGAATCAAAGACCATATTCCTGAAAGAATTAATGAACCATATTAGGCAATTGAAGTTCTTGAGAAAGAAAAGATCGTATGATCAAAATTTACAGACTACAATCTTGATGAGGCTACTCTTTTCAAGCTGGATAAGGTAGAATTGGTGAATTAGCCATCATAATCGAAATTCGTTATGCTCACAACCTAATACCATCTGGTGAGCCTATTCAAGGATATATCTTTGTATGATTCTAGTATAGTTGATATTCATTTTTATTTTTCTTTTTTTATTTTTATTTATTTATGTATTTATTTACTTATGTATTTATTTATTTATTTATTTATAACACAGTACAAAATAGGACCCAATACCGTGGGAGCCATAATAGAACCTCCCAACTGTACGGATCACATGCAGAGGATCAGTTGATATTCATGTTAAAGTCATGGTGCAGATCAATAATTACTTTTATTGATGCACGCAGTTTTATAGAATTCCCAAGCAAAAAGTAAAGGCCATTTTAATGTATGCAAAAGAAAAATTTGGTGCAGGGACTCTCCAACAAAAGTTACAGTTTCCTTTTAACCTTTCCAACAGAATGAAGCGTGAATGAGATGAGGATAAGAAAATGCAGTCACTTTTGAAATCATACATATATTACAGTTGTAATCCTGATAGGTTTATCTCATAAGGCCAGGCCCACATAGTAAAGAGTCTAAAGAGTTGAATATTGAAAGTTCAAGGTGCAAAAGCTACTACCTTCATTAAAAAAAACAGGTTTACCTTTCTAACAAGATTTTCCTAGATTTTTAGTTCTGAGCAACACTGCCGGCCAAGGTGCCTTATTGAGTTCTGCAAAGAAAATGGTATCAGCAACAACTATATAAAGATGACAAGAAGGTTGCGTAAATATTATTAGTCTCCTGAAATTATCTGAGAAAGGGGAGACTTGAGAAATACAACATTAATCAATTGGAACTTATTAGAGTAGATTTATTTGTTGAGTGTTTTAGTCTCACAACGGGTACACTTGTAAGATCCAACTATTTATCTATCTATAGTAAAGAGGTATGACCCACAATGGGATCAAGTCACTTTTTCCAACATAACAGTGTTAGAGCATGTTATTAAACCCTAATCCAATCCCAACCCTCCATCAGATTCCCCACCACCTCATCCTTTAATCCTAACCACCCATCTAACTCCTTCTCAAACCAACTTCAAAACCCTAACCAGCCACCAAACTGACGTCAACCTCCGAATTCGCCACATCAGCAAGCCACTCTGGCCCTCCCTCTCAGATCTTGATGGGTTAATTTGTAATCTTGAACAATTTATCTATCTATATAATAAAGAGGATTGGCCCACGGTGGATCAAGTCACTTTTCCCCAACATAAGAGTACTTTTCTCCAATGAAAATACTTCATCATATTTCTTGTAGGGTGTTAGTCAATTAGGACATTTTCATGCAAAATGAGATAATTGTTAAAGTGGAATAATTTTTCGTTAGTGGGATATTTTAGTGGGATAAATAGGAACAATTTTGTGAAGCGAGATATTTTAATAAAATAACGTGAGATAAATTTTTATAATCATAAAATATATATTTATGCATTTTGAAGATATAAATACTATTTATGTATTTTAGATAAATTTTTATAATCATAAAATATATATTTATGCATTTTGAAGATATAAATACTATTTATGTATTTTAAACTTACTATTATTGATTGATAATTGCTTACAAGAATGTCCTTTACTATTAAATAACTTTTGATTAGACTATAAGATATTAGAAATTATTATTATAATGATGATCTAATGATGGTGATAACCATAATAGGAAAGAAGTAAAGAAAAAAAATATAAAAAATAAAAAATAACAAAATAAATATGAGTTCTAGTTTTTTACCACCTAGTTCCAAACTAAAACTTGGAATAATTTGAGATAGTAGAACTCTCATTTTTGTATAGAAAAATAAAAAAAGTAGGATAATTTTGTACCATTATCTCAATTCTAGTTTTGTTAGAGTTCTACTTGACTAACACTGGTAAAATTTTGTTCTAGTTTTAGTTTTATATGACTAACACCTTAAAAATTTATCCCACATATTATCCCAGTTCTAATTTTAAGTTCTAAGGGGGTGTTAGTCACCTAGAACTTTTTAAGTAGAACTGGGATAATTGATAAAATGTGATAATTTTTTGACACTGGGATAATTTAGTGGAACAATGATGGATAATTGGTAAAGTGGGATAATTTGGTAGGATATTTTGGTGGGATAATGATAAATAATATTATGAAGTTGTATAATTTGGTAGGATAATTTGGTGGGGGTAATGGTGGGTATAAACTACTATTGTTAATAATTATATATTAAAAATAATATAATATTGATAAGCAAATTCTAGTAATAACTATAAAATATAATACAATAAAGCATCACTATTCATCTCAAATAATAAAAAAATTTACAAATAAATAAAAATCTAAATCCCTAGAGTGACTCGACTTCCATCATCACACATGGCTTCTATCATCCCACATGGCATTTGCCATAGAATTTCTCTAAGCTCCTACAGCTGCTCGTTGAGTCTGTAACTCGTCTTCTTTATCGGAGTCATCGTCTGTATCAGCAACATTTCGCGCAGCTTCTAGTGGAGGATCATAAATGTCGAAGTTCAAATCTCATAACATCATAAAGAAAGAAAAATAAGCATTTTTCAGCCATTAACCCTTTGGACCAATCTCATCATGATCGCTGAAACCAAATCAGCAAATAAATGAAATGTACACAGGAATCATCCATGGCCGCTAAACAGATGATCGACAGATGAACTATAAATATCTCAATCAATTTACTGAGCCGATTTAATAATAATAGATATCACCATTAACCATTCAACATCTAATCATCAATGTGATCGTAAAGTTGCTTTCTAACTTATAAAAAAAACATAAATAGCCCGCATAACTTTAGCATTAACCCACCAACACTATATTCTTAATCTAAACCACTGTTGTGGAGAGAAAACTTAGATCAAACAAACAATAATAAAGTAATTTAACGTCAAAAAGCTATCAATAAAGTAATACATCTTGAAGATAATAATAAAAGATCTGATCATCACAAAAACAAAGTAAAGACAGAAAAATGAACGGATGATTGACTTCATGGCAGAGAAATTTTCTAGGCGGAGAAACTAACCAAGAAGGAGGGAGGCGGCGTTTCACTTTTTTTTTCCCAATTTTATTCTTTCCAATGTGTGGGATAATTTGAGAGATGAGAACTTATGGTTATACATATAGGTAGTATAATTTGTGGGAAAATTATGACCAATTATCCCAATTCTAATTCTAGTAGAATTCTACTTGACTAACGCACCAGAAAAATAATACAGTTCTAGTTCTACAAAAGTTCTACTTGACTAACACTATAAAAAAATATTCCATTTCCTAGTTCTATGTGATTAACACCTTAAAAATTTATCCCACAAATTATCCCAGTTTCAATTTTAAGTTCTAGATGACTAACCCCCCTAAGTGACTAACCCCGATAAAGTCCTCATAGCTTACCAAAAAGAAATAGACTAGATCCAACAGTCTTTAATAGTTATTAGAAAGGCACGCTACTACTGAGCTCTACCTTGGATCCCTCATCAAAACAATTAATTGCCCCCCAACAAGCCGCTGACGGCAGCACTAAATTCCAAAACCTGCACAGAAATCTCAACTAGAAGAAAGAATCTAACCCCAAACACTCGCATGCAGTTTAAAATTAGAATAAAAAATTACCTCTAAACACTCCGTAATAAGCTAATCACCACACCTAATCCTCTTCAATAACTACTTTCATCTTCAACCACCAGCAATATCCCATATCCTATATTCTTCAGTCACGACAATGGAACTCCCTCTCAACGGCCGAGTGGCGATAGTCACGGGCTCATCCCGTGGCATCGGCCGTGCCATCGCCATCCATCTCTCCTCCCTCGGCGCCAACCTCGTCGTCAATTACGTCACCAACTCAACCCAAGCAGATCTCCTCGTGTCCGAACTCAGTTCAAATTCGAGTACTCTCCGAGCCATTGCAGTCCAAGCTGACGTATCCGATCCATCAGGGCCCAAAACCCTGTTTGACCGCGCGGAAGAAGCGTTCGGTTCTCCAGTACACATCTTCGTCAACTCTGCAGGCATCACGGACTCCAAGAACCAGACCATCTCTTCCATGCCTTTGGAAGAGTTTGATGCCATTTTCAATGTAAATGCACGTGGCGCCTTCCTCTGTTGTCAAGAAGCTGCTAATAGAATCGTTCGGGGTGGTGGCGGGCGAATTGTTATGATAACGACGTGTCTGGTTGAAATGCTAGTGCCCAAATATGGAGCGTATACGGCGTCAAAGGCGGCGGCGCAGACAATGGCGAGGGTACTGGCGAAGGAGCTCAAGGGGACGAGGATCACTGTGAACTGTGTTGCGCCTGGGGCGATCGCGACTGACATGTTCTTTGAGGGGAGGACAGAGGAGGATATCAGGAGGGTAGCAGGTATGAACGCAATGGGGAGGCTTGGGGAGACTAAGGATGTGGTGCCGGTGGTTGGATTTCTTTGTGGGGATGAAGCGGAATGGGTTAATGGCCAGGTGATTCAGGCTACTGGTGGGCGTGTTTGATTAGCATGGAGTTTTTTTTTGGGTGCATTGTGGATAGACACCCTGCAGTTTCACTGATTTGAACTTACTACCGCTCTAGTTTTATTTTCGCAGAAAGCCCCCCTGAATGAAACTTTTGTACGTGACTCTTTTACCTGAAGAGGTCTACATGTCGAGAAACAAAATTCGCCCAGGGAGTCTTATCTGCAAACATACAACTAAGAGTAGTAAGTTCAAAGTAAGGATACTACAGGAGGTCTATCGACAGTTAGCCCTTTTATCCACTTAGGTTTCTGTTGTGTTGGGTGATTTTGTGTTGAATGATATGTCGGAGACATAATGTGGAGGAATAAAGTATATGATGTGACGCTAGTTTTTGGTAGTCTAAAATTTTATTGACGGCCGGGTTGATTTTGGTTTTGTTCGATTATGTTTGGAAGCCTGATTTTGTTGTGCAAAATTTGCATGAACCTGATCCAGTTTATCAAATTCAGATCCAATTTATATCGTTAATTGCCAGTCGCAGCCTAGAATCGGTGTTCATAAACATACACAGGCATATTCTTACATGATATGTTTGCTAGGAAACTCCCATATCATTTAGCGTCTTAGAAATTCAGGTTTGCCAGAATCTCCCAAGGGTCTCGCAACGATATGAAAATGTTAATTGGCAGTAAATATGAAACAGTTTACAGTCAATATGAAGAGATCGGTGAAATAAGGCTAAAACGAGGTGATTAACAGTTAGTTTCTTACTTGAACGCTTGCAGACGTCGATGCTTGCAGTCTGCCATCCTAATACCTTTGCATATATGAAGTCAGTAACTGTAGCCCAACCGTGTACACCTGGAAGAATGAACGAAGGATGTTAGGAGATTGAAGTTCTTGAAAGAGAGAAGGTAGACCGAAATTTGCAGGCTACAATTTAAATGAGGCAACTCTTTTCAAGTTGAATAATGTAACATTGCTGACAAACCATCATAAACTCTCTAGTGGAGGAAGTAACTATAGCAGTTTGAAGTAAATAATAAGGAAAAAATCTTAATAATCCTTAGGAAGTCCCTGTTTACTGGAAAGTAGGTCAGAATGGGGAAATGAATTGATCCAAAATTATCACCGCGACCATTCAATTCAACATGCAAAAATTTTGATTTTTGACTATTATTAATATTGGTCACTCGTCAATCCACAACCCAGTACCATAATAAAATACATTATTACTGGAATTCAATTCATGTGAACATAGAATAGCCTAATACCGTCTGACATAGTGATAATTCTATGTTAAAAATGGTAAGGGTCTTAATAAGTTTCATTATTGGCGCCCACTTTTATTGTTTTTGGGTCCTCAAAGAATCACCCCTTTATGCCTTTCATCATTTCCATTAATTTTTAGGCAATTGAGATATTTTCTGTCTTTTTGGGCGCAAGTTAAGCATATGGACTTCATACTTCACGATGTTGCATCGGGGGTTTAATGTGAAAAATCATCACAGGTTTAAGTGGAACAAAGAAAGTTCAGGGGTTTATGTGCAAAATCTGTCAAGTTCAGGGGATACTGTGAAATTAAAATAGCTAGGGGTTTATTTCAAATATGGCCAGAGTTAAAGGGCGTTTGTGAAATTTATCCAAATAATTTCCTCGATTTAAACTTACAAGCAAGACATAATCCCAAGCCAAGAACCCTTTTTATGCTCGACAAAGAAGATGGGATCAGTAACAACTCTATAAAAATGACACCTGTGCATTCAATTTTACTATTCACGAACTACTATTCACTGCAACTTTGCTCTATCGGGCCATGGATTTGTCCCAACAAGTAGTATCAGAGCCTGGTTTAGAGTGCGTATATCTGCTTATCGTATGCTCTGTGGCTGCCACTAAAAGTGGATCCTCCACATCAGAAAATAAGTTAGATTATCATTTATCCTTTAAATGTATTGAGCACTACTCACGAGTACGGTTCTATTCACAAGTTTTGTTGCTATTCACGAGTACGGTTACTGTTCGCATGTACGGTTACGGTTCGCATGAGAAAGTAAAAGTTACCGTTCGTAGTAGAAGCAATGATGGCGAAGTTCGAGATTGAGAAATTCAATGAGAGTAATTTTTTACTAAGGAAGTTGAAGATAAAGCCTATCTTGATAAAAAATAATTATCTAGTGACCATCGATGCAAGACCAGAAGACATCACAAATGATAAAAAGTAAAACGAAATGGACAGAAATGCTATTGCAAATCTCCATCTGACATTAACAAATATGGTGTTGTCAAGCGTAGAGAAGAAGAAAACAGCAAATGAGATCTGGAATACTCTAAAAAAGCTATATGAGGCTAAATCCTTGCATAACAAATCTTCTTAAAAAGGAGACTTTACACTCGAATGATGGTGGAATCTATATCAATGACCGATCACATTAATACCCTAAAAACACTATTCTTCCAACTCACTACCTTAGGGCATACAATTGGTGTGAATGAACGTGCAGAGCTTCTATTTTAAACTCTACCTGGTTCATATGATCAGCGCATCATCAATCTAACAAACAACATCTTTACGGGCTATCTAGTCTTCGACGACATTGCATCAGCTGTTTTGAAGTAAGAAAACCGGCGTAAGAACAATGAAGACAAGTAGACAAAGCGCAAGTCGAGGATGAATCTGGAAAGAAGATCAAAATGCTTGAGGACGGATAATGGAGGAGGGTACACCGATGGTGAATTTCTTGCATATTCAAAGAATGAATGTATAGATTCGGCAACGTTTGACTTTGAGGAGTTGTTTTCTAAGGATAATATTTCATGGGTTGCAATGGTGTCTGGATTTTCTCAGAATGGTCTTGGAGAAGAATCACTAAATGTCTACTGTCAAATGCATCAATCTGGGATTCCTTTATGTTTTATCTAGTGTTTTAAGTGCTTGTGCAAAGTGCGAGATATTTGAGAATGGGAAGCAAATCCATGCTCAAGTGCACAAGTGGGGATTTTACTCGGAAACATTTCTAGGCAATGCACTTATTAGCTTGTATTCACGCTATGGAGCTCTTCACTTGGCACAGAGAGTCTTTACTGAAATGCCCCGACGTGATGGAGTGACATATAACTTAGTGATCTCAAGGCTTGCACAACATGGAAATAGTGAAAGTGCTCTGAAGATTTTTGAAGAGATGCAACATTCCAGCTTCGAACTAGACTCTATGACTATTTCAGGTCTTTTGAGCGCATGTGCTGCAGTTGGAGCTATTGAGGAAAGGGAAGCGGCTTCATTCTTATGTGTTAAAGGCGGGGTTGTCTTCTCACTACATAATCGAAGGATCGATCCTCGACCTGTGAACAGGAGACGTGGGGGCCACCCACGTGAAGGAAACCGCGTGAATATTTCACGCGTGAAGCCGGCCCACCCGATTCATGTGGTTATAAATGCACATCGGGTAATTTACTAGGGTTCTGTGCATTGAGGCTTGGGTTGCGGCTACAGAGAAAAGTACAAGGGAGTTTTGTTCGAGTTCTCGACTTGTTGTGGATTGAGTTCGTACTAGACACAACAAGTGGGACATTTGGTTGCTTTGGTGTCGGCTCTCACTACATAATACTTCACCGAATCCTCGACCTGTGAACAGGAGACGTGGGGGCCACCCACGTGAAGGAAACCGCGTGAATATTTCACGCGTGAAGCCGGCCCACCCGATTCATGTGGTTATAAATGCACATCGGGTAATTTACTAGGGTTCTGTGCATTGAGGCTTGGGTTGCGGCTACAGAGAAAAGTACAAGGGAGTTTTGGTTTCTCTCTCTTCTGCGGCAGAGAGTAGGGAGGTTTGTTTTCTTCTTTTGCGGCTGCAACAGGAGCAAAGGAAGTTGGGTTTGGTGCAGTCCTTTTGTGTAGTCTTTTGTAGAGAGTTTGTGAGGGATTTGAGAGAGTTTGTTTGAGGGTTTAGATTGTGAGTGATTGTAAACCCTAGTTGTATTCTCTCCCTCTATTAGTAGATATCCCCCCTCCTTGCCCCGTGGACGTAGGCAATTTGCCGAACCACGTTAAAATTGGTTGTACTGCCTTTGTGTGATTTGTAATAGCTTTTTAGGATCCCTCGACAGGTCAGTCCTAGAACTGATGAGAGGAAGAGCCGATATCTCACTTGGTTGAGATATCCGCTTCAGATTCTTGTCTCCTTGGTGAGACGGGAATTCTTATTGCGATCTGACTCTCTTGTTGTGCTGCCGAAGTGCTGCCGAAATTTCCGCTGCGCGCAACAAGTGGTATCAGAGCCCAGATTTCAGATCTAGGGTTTTTTGGTGGAGGAAGATTCTTGTGTGAAGCTTAGTTCTTGGAGTTCTCGGCTTCGGTGGAGATAGCATTAGGAGTTGCCGTTGGAGATTTCGCTTTCCTCGTGTGGATAGGAGATCTATTTGGAATCCGATCTAGGGTTCAGTTGGGTGGTTCCTAATTCTATCAAATTTGTTCTTTTTCTACAATTTGGAGTTAGTTCGCAATGGGAGAAGAAGGTGAAAGCAGCAAATCGATGGCGGGTACAATACAAGTTGGTTTTCAAAACACCAAAATTAGTGTGGTGAAATATGACGGAAAAATCAACTTTGGTTTGTGGATGAGCGACGTACAGGATGCGCTCAATGCTCAGAATTTGGAAGAGACCATCATGGTCCACGAGAGGCCACCTAAATATGAAGAGGCGGTATGGGAGAAAATGAATAGGAACGCTTGTGGGGTGATCAGGTCCTGTTTGGAACAGGAGCTGAAATATGATGTGATTGGGGTGACGTCTGCAATGAAGATGTGAAAAATTCTCAACAATAAGTATCTCACAAAGAGTGTTGAGAACAGGTTGCACTTGCTGCGAAGACTCTTCAGATTTCAGATGTCCAGAGGCACCTCGCTAGCGGCTCATGTGAACAACTATACGAAGTTGTTGTCGGACTTGGCGAATGTTGATGAGAAGATATCGGATGAGTACAAGGCGATTATTTTGTTGGGCTCCTTACCGGATGAGGAGTATGATACCTTCGTGCTCACTTTGTTGAACGGGAGATCTTCGATCAGCTATAGTGAAGTGACTAACGCATTGACCAATTACGATTTGAGGAGGAAGGACAAGGAGACTTCCCGCGCTAGTACTTCAGGAGAGGCCTTGTCGACGAGAGGTAGAAGCCCATATCCGAAAGGTGGTAATAGAGGAAGGTCAAAGTCGTGAAGTTCGGGACGGCCATTCATAGGACGAGGGGCATCTTGGACTACGTGCACACAGATGTTTGGGGTCCCACTAAGACGGCATCACTTGGTGGTCGACATTGGTTCGTCACGTTCGTTGATGACTATTCTAGGCGATGTTGGGTGTACACCATGAAGCATAAGAGTGAAGTCCTAGATTTGTTTGTGGAGTGGAAG